CAAAAGGCTAAACAAATTTTGACCTGAGAATATATATTTTTTGTGATTTCTGTGGGAAATTGATATTTTGTCACTATTATTAATCTTGGGAAAAAACTGTATTTTTCTCTTTAAAAATTGTTCTTTTGATTTGTATAGGAAAGTTTCATTTTCTCAGGGTATTTTTTATTAATCTTGGGAAAAAAACTATCTGTATTATTCTCTTTAAAAATTGTTCTTTCGTTCATGTCTAAAAAGATAAATTTGTAAAGGAAAGTTATATTTTCTCAGGGTATTTTTTATTAATCTTTGGGAAAAAACTATCTGTATTTTTCTCTTTAAAAATTGTTCTTTTGTTCATGTCTAAAAAGATAAATTTGTATAGGAAAGTTTCATTTTCTCAGGGCATTTTTTATTGATAGGTACTGGTATATATTTTGTTGTCAAGGCTCTTCTTGTAATTTTCCAGAGCATATTCACATTCGCTTGTCTGTTCTTGCCAATTATATTAGTCTGGGACCCTGGGTTTAGAATCAAATGAAATGCTGCTTATAATTGTTTGAAACTGAGAATTTTCTTGTGAAAGAAAATGATAGTTGTTAAGTGTTATAGATGCAAGATATAAAATGAACTGAGCAGGAATTTCAACCTCCAACCTCCAACTTTCAGTTGAGCTACTGAACCAATACCTGCATAGCCCTCTACTTTTTCCGTCTGTAGTCATTGAATATAAAATTCACTTGGCAGGGGTTTGAACCTCCAACCTTGCAATATAGAGTCAAGTAAAATGAACCCCTGTACCATGGCCCTCTATGTGCTCCATCTGTGATTATACAGAGCCTTTGAATATGACTTTGATCTGGGAAGGATTTGAACCTCAAACCTCCACTTTAGAAGTCCATTTAATGAACCACTGCACCATGACTATATATGCGCTCTATGGTTTCAAAGCCATTGGATAAAATGCTCTGGGCAGGAATTTGAACCTTAAACCTTGCAATTTAGAGTCCATTGAGTGAACCTCTGCACCTTGACTATCTATGCGCTCTATGGTTTCAAAGTCATTGGATAAAATGCTCTGGACAGGAATGTGAACCTTAGATCTTGCAATTTAGAGTCCATTGAGTGAACCTCTGCACCATGAATATCATCTATGCGCTCTATGGCTTCAAAGCCATTGGATAAAATGCTCTGGGCAGGAATTTGAACCTTAAACCTTGCAATTTAGATTCAAGTGACAGAACCCCTGTACTATATGGCCCTCTGTGTTTATCCACCTGTACATGTAGTTGCACATCCATTGAGTATAAAATGCACTGGACAGGAATTTGAATCCTCGTCCTTGCAATGTAGAGTCCGATGAATGAACCCCTATACCATGGTCTTCTCATATGTGCTACATACATGTACATGTACAAGTATGTGGTTAGCGTTTGCTTCCTTTGAACACAGTTTTGTGGTTATGAAAACATCAACTAATCACAATACAGAGACGTACATAAGAGGAGGAGGAAATCAATACTGCATTTGTAGTTGAATGTGTTATCTGGAAAAGAAAACGAGGGGAAGAAAACATTGAGAAGCAGACCAAGGGCATGTTGAGGGAAACAATGATCATGAAAGGGATTTTCCAAACATTGCAAAGACTTCAAAGAAATCAACTGACCAGATACATGCAAGGGCAATTTCAGAAGAATTGAGTGCACCATCTATGCAAATATATGAACATCATACTGACAGGGAGAAGCATGTTACATAATACTGAACATGATTTCTATATATGGCTGTACCATGTAAGATAAGGCTGCGACGAGTACTTGAATACTCAAGTACTCGCACTGTTTACAACTACTCGAGTACAATTTCTCGTACTCGAATACACGGCTGCCGAGTATTCAAGTATTCCCATTTAAGCCCGGGAGTGTACTCGAGTACCTCATTACACGGATATGCACAGCTGTAGTACCGTTGCATGGATATAAAATAGTATATTAATAGGGTATGAATATTGCTCAAGGGTTGATCCCCTGAAATCATATGCTATCAATGTTTATATAGTACTAAAGATTAAACTAAAAGATTTGAAATACCAATTTTTTTATTGGGAGTACTTTCAAAACAAGAACAAAATCTGTGTGATGAAATCTTTTTTGACTTGTTTAGTTGGCAAAAATCAAAAGCATCTGAACTTTCTCTTGTCATTATCAACTTGAGTGACATGCCAATCGTAACCATATTTTGCCACAATGTCCCTCGTAAGACAATCATCTGGAAGAGCTTGCGCAAAGCAGAGTAGGCTAACATTTACCCCAAAACGGGTACATTTTCAGTAACTGTGTACAGGCCCTGCCAGTAAAAAGAAATCATGCTATACAGTTGTATTGAAAAGAAGATTGGATGAAATACCTCGCATTGAACCTTTATGCTTTTGCATGAGCTTCATTTTCTTGTGGGACAACAGAATGCAGTTGCTTACGAACAAGCATTTATGCTTTCTTAGCAGTCAGGTAAAATAACCACCACCACTACAATTGTTCTTGACAATCCTTTCTTGTGTGCTATTCGCCTGCAATGAAAAGGGAGAGACAAGTATATATTTGTTCTCAGTAATGATTTCTATCTGCAGATAGTTGCTCATTAGCAGCCACTTCTGTTCATCCAGAATGGATTGAAAGTTTAAAAAAGCATCAAACTCGATCAATACCCAATCACCTGTGTCGAGATACACTAACTTTAATTGGGTCTTGATCGTACTCTCTTTCTACTCGTTAAAGGAACACCACAGCAGTGAAAAGAATCTCAGGGACCTGGCTAAAGAAAATTTTGTGCATTTTTCTTTCATTCTAGTTACATTACATACCCCCCCCCCCTCCAGCAATTGATAAGGGGAAAGACTACCCTGATGTTAATTTTTTTTTTGATAGAGTCTGACCAAAACGTCTCAGAAACGATGTAGGATAGAGTACATGCTCCATATACACCTGTACCTTTAATCAAGCAGTTGCCATATAATTGTCCTTGGTAGAATACCTATCTAGTGCACCTTTCCCCAAACTTCTTTCTTTCACTTCTAATCTCCTATTGTCCTAGACTCCCCGCCCATAGGCCACGGAAAAAGGCCCATTGTCAGCCGTCCATTGACGTAAACCCAATGTTTTGGCTGTGACGTCATCGGTCGAGTGGTCAGAAGTGGCCTGAGCACTGTCCACTTTTGATGTGATACAGACCGTGAATTGATTCGAGTGGTCATCCAGCTGCGGGAGAACAATCCCCATTTTGATTCTGTTTCTATATACATGTAGGCCTATATATTTTGCTTTCTGTCTTTTTATGGTTCATTTATTATTTATTGAGGGCCATTTTGAAAGGATCAGTTTGTTTTTGGTGATGATTTCACCCGTTGCTATCGCCTCTCGCCATCTACCAATTCACCCGTTTTGTTGTTTTATGGTGAAAGGGCTCGTCTTCTAGTTTTCGCCCCTCACAGAAAAGCGCTTGATTTCCACCACTGGTATTGCAAAGAATGAATTGATTCACAAGTTTTGATTGTCAGCAAATAACCTCTGTTTAATGTCAATAAAAACAGCTCAGCCATGATAAGGCAAATATATTACTTGCGTCTTTTAACACTACCATAATTCTGTATTATATTATTTATCGTGAATGAAATGTTTTATAAAAAAAAAACTATTAAAATGAGATGATTTTATGACGCTATATAAGTAATTTTGTAGTAAAAATTAATTAGGCATTTCCAATAATTATGGACATTATATTTTAAGTAGTGGACGATATACCTCCATAGGAATAGGAAAAGGATATGAATAGGACAATAACTTTTTGGTTTTTAAAGAATTAAAAAAAAATCTTTTAGAGAACTTACACAAACAATTTTTTTAAAGTACTTGTAGCAGGGAGATGAGTTTTAAAGTCATTTCCCTGCTCGAAGGTCTTTAAATCTCTCTTTTTTCCCCTCCTAAATTATGATAATAATAATTCTCTTACATTCATTTAATTCATGCATACAGCTCTATAGTTAATTTGTAGGTCTGCATGCATCTAAAATGTCTGTTTTATTTTAGATGCTAATTTGAGATGAGTAGGCCTAATCTTGCTGAATTATAACAAATCAACATTTTTTGAATAAGCTTTTACATGGCAGGTATCTGGTACATGTAGTTTGCAGTCAGCAATATAGAAAAAGGTTTGTGTAAATTGATAAAAATGCTACATCAATAACAAATCCAAAAATATATAAGGAGGGGGTGGAAACCATATCTTGCCTCATTGTACAGGCCTATATAGACCTACATGACATTTTACAAGTTTGTCATTTATATAATTCAAGAAAGGAACCCACTCATGGCAGAGTGGGATCGTGTAGGCGGAAATTCCTTTGACCACTCCCCTTGGGATGCGAAGAGGTCAAAGGTCGCTGGGGTCAGAATATTGATCACTTGGTTCAACTGATTTGAAAAATGATTGTGATATTGTATCACAAAGTCTGCAGTATACATGTATTTTACACAATAGGCATAGGCCTATACCTATGAAAAGTTACATCTGGTGTGAAAAACTGGCCGGTGGCACTTCGTGTTATATGAAAGAATGAGCAAATTTAAAAGAAATATATCCTGAATTTGCTAGTTCCCTGACATGTCAATAGAGATGGAAAGAGAGTCTGATAATCTGGTATTCCCTAGATACATTCAAAAGAAGAATGTGCCCTCTATTGATGCATCCAACAATAATTTCAGGTCTCAAAAGGCTCTGGCTCTGTTCAAACCTCGTTATTTTGCCATTGCAAAAGGAGAATCCTGGATCCATCACTGTGATGGGTTTCAAATTCTTTCCCCGAATTTCCTCTTAACTTGGAAATCAACATGTACATTGGAAGTTACCTGAAATTAAACAAAACATAAATGTTGTTTTATTGCAAGATACAGTCATACCTTATTCAATAATTTTATTGCAGGAATTGATATGAAAATTATTAATATAATCTTCTTTATTTCCTCTAGACATTTACATGAAATGATGAGCAACCAACCACAACAGATTAACTCGCATTCTCCCCCGGGCACCAAAGAGGGCGTGCTAACCAATGGCCACCATGTGATCAACGGCAGTCCGCAAAATGGCTCCCCGCCCGGCTACATCGAAATGACCCAAGGTCCACAGCACCGCCCCATCCCGCCGATTCGGGTCCAGAGCGAGACGCCGTGCCCTCCGTCTGCGGCCCAGACACCCGTTCCCTCGGCCTCCCAGCAGCGGACCATCAAGCAGGAGGGGAGCTCAGGAGAGAACGGGTACGGCGCTGAGAGGGACGTACTGCCAGCTTTGTCCTCGTACAGCTGCGCAGTCCACAACGGGGAGCCACCCAAGCCAGGGGGACAGGATGGGGGCAATGATGAGGGCGGTTACAGCGGAGAGAACCATCCCAAAAATAAAGGTGAGGGCATTGATTCTTTAGATCTATAGGCCTACACTTTTCCCTAATGTGCAGTATAAATTGCCAAGGGCATTCAACAGGTACTGACAACAACAAAAAAGAAAAGAGTATCCTTTAAATTTGCAGTGCATCAAAATTTGAATAGAGTGAATAAAAAAAGAGGTTGAAAAATAGGAGAATGATGGGAGAGGCAGCTAGAAGTAGAAATATTAGAAATCAAGATAGAGGGAGAGAGACACAGAGAGAGAATCAGAGGGATGAAAAAGCAGATTTGATACAAATTCTTTATGAAAACACTATATTTATCATATTCAAGATATTAAACTTTAGAGGATAATTGGAGGAGGGAGATACAGAGAGAGAAAGAGAGGGAGAGAGAGAGGGGGGGGGGGGGAGAACGGAAGAGAGAGAAAGAGAGAAAGAAAGAGAGAGGGAGGGATGCAGAGAGAGAAAGGTACAGAGAGATAAATGGAGAGAGATAGGGGAGAGAGAGAGAAGGAGAGATAGAAAGGGGCCAGGATAGATAATTCAGAAGAATTGAATATCTCCATTAGATGAACAATATATTCCTTGCAAATTCTACTCCTGGAGTAATCAAATAAAGGAAGACATTTTGCTTTTTATGTGTCATTTACAGTTGTCATATACAGTAATCAATTCTGCAAATGAAGGCTCTTCCTATGAAGTTCCTCAGGCAATGGGTAATGATAGTATGTTACAGTTTAAGTAACATAAGAAAGCTCTAGAAAAAACCTCACTCACTGTACCTCATCCATTGTGCAAAGCCCTCACAGGCTTTTAAAATTTACGTGTCAATCTTTGTGAGATTTGTATGGGAGGCAGCGTTAACAATGAAATAGAGGATTAACAGGGTGCAAGTCATTAGCAGTTCATCTAAATTGCCCCTATTCACCATGGAAGTAAATCATAATATTTATTTGATGATAGCATCTCATGGTAAATGTGCCCTGACGTCGGCGCTCCCCCCCCCCTCCCCCACCCCTCCCATCCAATTTCAGCCTGACACAAGGCACTTATCGTCCCTTACGATCTCTAGATGGTAGAAAGCAGTCAGTTACATTTAAATTTTGGCCCAGAGATGGCCCCCTGAGGGACAATGCCTCCTGTCGATTCCCCAACTACGAGGCCATAAATCCACCCTTTTTTGACGGGCACCAGCCATGAATCTTCTGCCTATTCTTTCTCTTCCTTTGATGAAAAGATGAAATATATTTGAGCTGGGGTGTGTTTCACAAAGATCCTAAGTTGAACTTATCTCTAAGTTGGACTTAAAAATTATGGAAAGCCGTTAGCATCTTTAAAAATATTTTGTAAAAATTATTTTAAAGGCATAAAATGTTGATTCAAATCATTCATATTTTCTACTATCATGGGAGATTTCATGTTCTCGATGTGGAATTTATGAAAAGTTTAAAATACTTGAATTTTCGATTTTGAATATATTTTATTTTAAGGCTTCAAATGGCTCTCCATAACTTTTAAGTCCAACTTAGAGATAAGTTCAACTTAGGATCTTTGTGAAATACCCCCCGGGTTTTGTTCTGAGGGATGTTTTATGGTCTGTGTACAAGACTTTAGCAGTCATTTGTATTAACAGATCACAATTCTGTCAGGGTATTCTTTTAGGAGTCTTCCAATATATATGCAGGTTGCATGGAAAGGACAGAGAGAATGAAGGGAGAAGTTAGAGAAGGAAGGGGTGTTCAGTCTCAGAGCTTCTTGAAAGAGATAGTTATGTCACCGGAAGTAGCTTGTGATTGGTCAGTCATTTCATTGAGCTCCAAATAGAGACTGCATATGGGAGGGAACTGTTTGGAGCTACATGATGTGACCTATGACTGCGCTTGCTTAATTACGCGTAGATACGCATTTCACAACTATCTTTCTTAAAGCCTATCTGCACTAGTTTGGCCAAGAGGGATTAGACATCCCAGCATGGTCACTGACGGGTGGATATCTCATCAAGTCAGCTCTAAATTAACACAAGAAAAAGGGGACCATGGGGGACCAATGGTAACCGATTAGACATTGTTTGCTATATAGAGGGCGCAAGTAGCTATAAGTTGTGCAGTGGGGCTTAATATGCTATGGTCAGTCTAAGGGAGTGAACGACTATTTGGAGGGAGAGAGAGAAAACAAGAACAGCCTGAGATATACAGAGAAGATAAAAAGTTGGAAAGGAGAAAGAACATGGAATAGGAGAGATAGAAGGAAAGAGAATATAATATAAAAGCAGCCCTGATAACAGAGTGATAATATAAAGGAAGAATGAGGAATACTAAACTAGAAAGACAGATTACAAGTGGTGGGGCAGTATGGAGATTGAAGTCATGAAATGGGTAAATTTCTTATTAAGGATTTTTTGTCCATACAAATGAAGGAACTTCAAGTAATTATCTCAAGCTACTGCAAGAACTTTGGCTTTCAAAACAAGTTTTGGGGAACTGTATTCTTTTTTAGTTATCCATAGAGTGCATCGAAAAGTCCTTCTGTTTAACGCCCTTGGACCCTTGTGCCCTTGTCAAAAAAATTAATAGTACACCTCTTTGAACTAAATGTGTTATTTGTAACCAGATCTTATTGTTACAGGTTTATGACCTTAATTAAGAAGAAAAGGAAGACGCAAAAATAACCATTCTGAATTCTCCTCGTCTAACCTAACGGGGTAAAAACATATTCAGGTGTAATTATCCCACACTTTTCAATGAGAGTTTCGAGACTAATTTCAGGGAGCTTTCCTTTCTATTCAGTTTACACATCGCTTTCCTGATTGAATTTTAAATTAGCAATCTCCTGTGTTTCATTGTTATCTTTTGATCAATAGTTGAGAATTCTGCATCATTTAGCAAAGTCGCATTCAAATCAGATGGACTGCGAAGTGTTGAGAGTTCACGGGTTACTCTCTGATTTTACAAGAAGAAAGAGAACTATGGAATTATGATAATTGACATCAATATTTGTTGATGTCATGGGAGATAACATTCACGCTTCCCTATTGTTTGGGGTGATTTGAAAGAACCGTTTGGTTATCTGGTCACAGATCAGAGTTGTGAAATCCACCGCCATTAAAAGAACCCCTTTTTGTCTGTCATTTTTTGTGGGCGGATGTGTGTTTGGGAGAATCGGGAGAGAGAATACAGATTCTGTACTCTCAATTCAGTATCAGATGTGCTTTTTGTTCTCTATTCTTCTTTAGAAGATGAGGGAGAACAGGTAATTTGTTGCTAAAAACCCCTGATCATCCTCCTAAAAGGCTTTGAGATATAAGCCTTGTCTCGCACTGCCGGAGTCCAAGATCAGATAAGGAAGGCAGCAGACATTATCTAGGGCATTCTCTATGCAAGGCAGAAGAAAATTGTTTGATGGCAGAAAGAGAAAACATAAGGATTCAAAAAGTTCGAGTCTCACTTCGATGATTCCAATAGGTTTGTTTTTGTGATAGCTCGCCTTTCATGAAACTAGCGTACTTCATCGCTACAGTGCTTGTCGATTCTTTCAGCACAGTTCCAATTTGTGCGCAGCGTCGCGAGGCATGGGCAAACACAAACACACGGTCTGAAAGAATATATTGCAAAACCTGGATATTTTTTTCATCAAGTCAGTGATACCGACTTCTATGCAACAACACCGTTTTTTCATATTCATTCATTATTCTTTTTTGTCCCAGTTCAGTAAATGAATTTTGAATAGACTGGGACATACATTGTACAATTCCATCAATCAAAAAGCTGTCAGTGCCTTGGGGCACTCGCTAGTCTGTGTACAATTAACCGTGCTCGGCAAACAATTGTCTACTTGTGCATCTACGTCATCAAACTTTCTGAGAGGTTTTTTTTTTAAACTTTAGAAGGTGAACCTATTTCTTTCTGCAAACTCCAGGATAAGAGTGAAAACAGAAAATTATGTGTACATCTTGGAGAAAAGGACCCAGAAAAAAGTGTTTTTCTTGATATTGTCTACATCATGGTATCATTTTCATTTCATTTTCATTTCAAATAAATCCACCATTTATTTGATTAACCTAATTTAGTCACAGAGTGGATCTGATAATAGCAAGGAAAGTGAAAGAAAGAAGACAAAGATTTTGTGAACTTGAAATAGAAAGTAAACCAGAGACTAAACTTCTTAACAATGAGCACACAAATAATAAATGCAACGGTGCTTTGTAGCAATGATAATGGTCTGAACTTTCAAAATGAAATTTATTTACTTGCTTTTTGGTTAAAATTCATTATATTTTCTTTAGAGCGGTCTTTACCTCTTCACTCATGCACAACTGATGAAACCTGATATGAATTGATTTTTTCATCTCTGTATGCAGTTTTTAAAATGAAAAAAGCTAACTTTCGTTTTTGTCTTTTCCTTTTTCGGTGGCTAAATGATGATAAGTTTTCACTGCAGCACCTTTATTGATTATTTTATGTAAGTCAAGAGTTTCTTTTTGCAATTTCATATGTAAAGAAAATATATTGATTTCCATAAAAGGGAAACTTTATTAGCTTCATCAACTAGATGTAGCTATTCATTTATCATTCTACAGATCTACTGAGCTGATATTGATCAAAGTCTGTGATTATTGTGATGTCAATTTCTGATATTGTTTTTAAAGGTTATGACACAGTGCACTAGTTTTCATGTATATGCATTTGCTTGCATTAACAAAAAAATGGGAGCAGAGAGTATTTCTGAAAGCCCCCAAAGAGCTCTAGAAGTCTGAAATTTCTATTAAACAAAACCAGAACAGTAACATGCGCTGAGGACTACATGAAGACCACTTATGAAATGTCGCTTTTACATAGCAAATAAAACAGAGATTTGAACAATTATTTCTAGGAGTTTTTTCCCCGGTCGGGGTAATTAAGCTATAGAACTTATTCTAAAACCAAAAACTTTTGAGAATAATTGAAAACTTGTTGATTGCAAACTATTAGTGTTGTATATATATATATATATATCAATGGTGATTCAATTATTGTGTGGCAAGACACTTTCGCAAATGTGAATCAGAACCACCTGAAAAATTCACGAACATTTCATGCATACAAAGGTTTCTTGTTTTACATT